ATATACATAAAAAATAATCATTAAAATCTAATTTGTAAGTATTTTCTAAATTATTTTATAGTTTTTAATGTCTTGAGATATTATTTATTTGTGGGCTTGTAAATTCACTATTTACTTAATAGATTCTAATTACACAACCTAAATTTGAAGCCCAAACTAAAACCCAATAAGAAAATATAATAAAATAGGTTATTCCTTGTCTTCATTCTTCTGTATCTTTCCTATCTTCCAACTCCAAAGTCAAAAAACCCCAAATAGTGAAAACCCTTTCATCCACTTCACGACGAGCTTTCTTCTTTGCAATTCCGAGCCACTGTCCAAGTTTGTAATTACATATTAGTCTTACTGCTCCAACACAATTTGGTAAGTTAAAGTATTTGATTAAACCAATTATATTATTTTGTCCCTTTAAATTTGGGTATAATTGTTATCTTAGATTGTTGGTCCTGAAATTTGATGTTACGAGTTGTGTTCTTTCAATCTAATATTGCACTTACATTTGTGATGAAATCATTGCTTAATGTTAAAGGTTCTCTAAGAAGGAATGCAAGCTTCAAGACTATTTAGAAGAAATTAAGAAAATTGAGCAAGTTGAAGAAGGTAATTTTATATATTTAATTCGTAATGAATTTGATTCTATCTTTATATTGTTTAACATGTAACTGTTTTTTTTTCCAGAATGTCCAGGTGACCCTTTGAGTATTGATTAGTTTAGAACTTCAGTTAAATAAAATAGTGTCAACCTATTCATGGTGCTTGGCTGCTTGCTGCTTATTTCTAACTTTTGTCTTGGCCAACTTTAATTAACTTAATATTTTTTGTGGAACTACAAGTTGGGTTGTAACTTTTGGTTTATCACATGTTTGTTGTCATTTTCTATTATGGAAGGTCTTGGAATTATGATTCATACAAACAATTGCTATTCCTCATATATTATTTTAATGAATAATAATCATGCGGACAATTGCTGATTATTTGATCTCTTTTTCAAGCATAATATAACTAAAAAGGAAAACCGAAAATAAACCGAAAAACCGAGGAAATCGAAAAAACCGACAAAAATTGAAACCGAAAAAACCGAGTTTATGTTGGTTTGATTTGATTATAAATTTAGTAAACCGACATAGTTGATTTGGTTTTGGTTTAATAAAAAATCGAACCAAACCGCCTCACGTACAACCCTACTAGGAAGTAGAGAAGTAATAGTTTATCGAGGAACGAGCAATGGAATAAGACAAAAAAAAAAGTTGAGCGAGGTCATTGTCCGTTAGTTTACAAACACAAAGTGCACCGTGGATCTCGAGATTTTACTTTTTATACAATTAATTTGATTTAAAGATTACTTTACACTACCTTTTTTTTAAAATCATTTTTCAAAATAAGTAAAATCGTGATTTTGTTAGTTGAATATGCTAGGGAAGTTCAATCATATTTGGGAGCCTAAAGTCAAATTTTAAGAAGAGGCCTAAACTTTTACTCAAAAGTTTCAAGCTCATATGTTACAAAATATTAAGCTTCACTTTTAGTCTTAAGATCCACACTAGCTTCTACTAATTTCAATAAAGACTTATTTATGGAGTTTGAAATTTTATTGATTTATACTTTTAATATGATTTTTCCATAGTGCTTGTGACGATGATTTAAGTGTTAGACTATGTTTACCCTTAAAATGGATAGCAATTAAATATTATATGCGATTTAAATGATATGTGTTTTAATTTAACGCAAATGATCTAGATATAATAAATAGTTGAATTGAAATGAAATAAAACGATCAAACCAAAGTGACGTAGTAATTAAGCATTATAGTTAGCTTAAGTACCAACGGTCAGTCTCGATTGAGCCTTCGAAATAGAGCTCAGATCCAAATAAAAGAATGAACAACTGAAGAACACATAAAACAATTGCTGAGAGCCAAAGTAAATTTTATTGCCTTCTCATGTGTAAAACAAAACCGTGCCAAAAAATGAAGGGGTCCTCCTCTTTATATAGTAGAGGAGTTTTAACCCTAATAAAAGTTTAAATAAGGAAAAAATCTTTTTTTTCCTTCTTTCTCACAAAAATATGATCCACAACCAATACCGAACGTGATTCATGCTGCAATACCCGGCTGGTGGCGGATATTTCAACTCTCGTTTATCTCCTTTAATCGCATTTTCTTTACTCTCGATTCTTCATCTCACTCGAGCTTGATTTTTTTTCGGATTTGGCCATGCTCGAGACCGGTTGTATCGTTCGTCTATTCCTGATTCCGATATATGGGTATCTTCGATCTCACTCGAGTCAGTAACAAGTAACATCGTTACTCGTTTCACAATGAAAAATTGAAGGTAACTCTATCCCCGATTTTATCCGTATGCATACTAAGTATACTATCTTTTCACATATTTCATCACTAGTATAGAAGGAGAACACAGTGAATACACAGATTGTACTACTCCAAAGAATAATATAGCTTGCGAACAAGATAACCATGTCATAGCGTACCAAATTTAGATTATAAAAATCACATGATGTATAAAATGCTGTAGAATTTATATCGAGCAGCTTTTTTACCTCCCTTGATATTTTTCCTTCATATTAGATCTCCAAAAATATTCTCCTGTACTCGAAAGACCATTCTTATTCCCGAAAGTAACACCCAGCTGTCAGGATCATCATTAAAACAAAATTTTCTTTTCCTTTTTTATACAAATATTGTATTTTTTCATCAAAAGTACTGAATGCTTAAAGAAAAATTAAATCATTACTAATAAAAAATGGGGCCTTCATAATTTTGGAGCCTAAGGCCTTTGCTTTAGATGCCTTATACTAAAGCTGGCCCTATGAATACGTAGCATTTTCTCGAATAGTTTAACTAGGATGTTCATCGATTGGTATGATACGGTATTTAGTCATTTCGGTATTCAGTTTCTTAAAATGTTATACCAATACCATATCTAATTACATTCGGTATGGTTCGGCTTTTCTCCCTTCGGTTTCGGTTTATTCGGTCTGGTAATTTCAATTTATTCGGCTTGAATATTAACTGGTGCATAGAGCCATATACTGTAATATTTTTAATTAAAGTACTCAATAAAAAAGTTCTTAGATCACCTGATTGTTGACAAAATCTTTGTCCAAAAGCAGCAAGTATCAACTAAGCGAAAAAAGGTACATAAAGGAATATATTTGATCATTAAAAATTATTATTTTACTTGCTTAGAGTTAATTATTGAAATTAGAGAATACAACAAGGTAGAGTTAATATACCTTCATAATTGCTCCGACGACGGACTTTTTGTATATACACAAAATTTTTGTGCGGATTAATAAATGAAGCTGGTCCAAAGTAGAGAAAAGATTTGAAACTTTTACATATCAACTTATTACAATTTTGTAAAACCGTCGTTGTTGAGTTCCTCGAAGAAGCTGGGTCGTTTGAAAATCTGAAAATTAGGGTTCAAAGTTAGCTGGGTGTTTGAGATTTTGGTTGTAAACACTGATACGAGGTGAAATCTGAAGATTAGGATCGATTTGAACTGATTTTGTAGGGTTTTGAGTTGAAATTTTTCGAACGAGTTCTCAACGAAGAAGACAAATTGGGTTCCTTCGATTCTGTGGGCGATTGTTCAATCAGGTTTCTGGGTTTTGTCTTGTGATTATAAGAGATTTGTTCTGACACCTTAGTCTGGTTTGATACATTGGTACAGAGATAAAGATTGTTGATTTCTTGATATTCTGTAAAGAGAAAAGCTTCAAACTTATTAGTTGACTACTTTCCACCGATTACTTGTTATGTTATGTAAAAGAGAGGCTTCAAATACATCACATTCGTTTGTTGATTACTTTCGCCATTCTGAAGATTGCTGGATATACTCTTTAGAGGAGAGGCTTTACATTCTTGCTGGGTATTACAACTTCGCTTAAGCTTCTTAGCCAATTTCGATTCAGATTCTAGTCAATTCTCGCCGATTTCTTGGTTGGTCTAAGTTCTAGAGAAAGCACAAAAATATTAGAAGTTTCTTCTTCCTATTTGAATGAGAAATACTTAGAGTTGCTCCAGCTCGTCGCAATCCATCACCGCCGACCAGATTTTCGTTAATTTCAAGGGTTGCAATTCAGGTTCTATTGTTCCTCTCTTATCTTGATATTTTAATAGTTTAATATTTTGGCGTAATTGTATCTCCTTGTCTGCCTATTTTTTTTTTTCTTATATCTTTAATTAGTATCTACCCTAGCATTGTCAAATTAATCGCATTAGCGATAGCTTTGCATACTTGTTTATATTTTAAATCTTTATTTCAAATATCCCATAGTAGTTCTATTCTAGTTTTGCACATTTTTTTTGTAACCATTAGTTGTAGATTATTGCCCCCTTTAGCTCTTATATTGTATTTCTTCACCTATTTTTCTATCCTTTAGTTGTAGATTATAGTTCCTTTAGTTCCTTTGTTTTATCTCTTCACCTATTTTTTTGACCTTTAGTTGTAGATTATAGTTCCCGTTAGTTCCTTTATTTTATTTCTTCACCTGTTTTGCGACCTTTAGTGGTAGATTATATTTTGATAATTTATTGTATTTTTGTCATTTAGTTTCGGGATAGGGCTTGCGTAGTGACTCCTANGGGGTAAGGGGGTAAGAGGGTAAGAGGGCTAAGGGAACTACTAGGCTGAGAGTGGGATCTTGTAACATAGGAAATTTGACTGGAAAATCTGTAGAGTTTGGAAAGATTCTCGAGAAAAGGACGATTAATATAGCTTGTGTACAAGAGACTAGATGGGTAGGAGATAAGGCGCGGGATGTGGTGAGTTTCAAACTTTGGTATTCTGGGATGGTGGGGGGCTGGAACGGGGTAGGTATCATGGTTGATAAGGACCTCCTTGAACTAGTGGTGGAGGTTAGGAGGGTGAATGATATGCTAATGACTATTAAGCTAGTTGTAGGAGGTTTTACTTTGAACATAATCAGTGCTTACGCACCCAAGCAGGCTTGGATGAGAAAGTGAGGATTTGGATGAGATGGTGCACGGTATCCCGCATACCGAGAAGCTTTTCATAGGAGGAGATTTCAACAGCCACATTAGAGCGATGTCTGGCGGATATGATGATGTGCATGGTGGCTTTGGTTTTGGAGACAAAAATGGAGGAGGAACGTCTCTGCTGGACTTTGCTAGATTATTTGATTTGGTGATAACAAACTCGAGTTTCCCGAAGAAGAGGGAGCACTTGGTCACCTTCCGGAACTCAGTGGTCGAGACTCAGATTGATTATTTACTCTGCAGGAAGTCCGATACAGGTCTTTGCACGAAATGCAAGGTCATACCGAGTGAGAACCTCTTGACCCTTCATAGGCTCATGGTCATGGACCTTGAGATCATAAGGAAGAGGAGGAAAAGGGCGATATATAGTCAATATAGGATCAAGTGGGGGGCCTTGACGGAAGCTAAAGCTCAGTATTGAGGGTCAAGTTGGTGACCATGGGGGCTTGGAGGAGTAATAGGGATGCAAGCGCTATGTGGATCACGACTGCGCAGTGCATTAGGGAAGCCACGAGAGAGGTATTAGGGGTCTCAAAGGGTCACTCTGGTGGTCACAAGGGAGACTGGTGGTGGAATGGAGAGGTGCAAGGAAAAGTGAAAACCAAGAAAGTAGCATATCTGAAGCTACTGGAAAGTATAGACGACGAGGAGAAGAGGGCGAACAAGGAGCATTATAATTTGGCTAAGAAAGAGGCAAAGCTAGCAGTTATGGAGGCCAAGACTGCAACTTTTAGTCGTTTGTATGAGGAACTCGAGGGCCGATGGGGGGATAAGAGGCTGTTTAGGTTAGCCAAGTCACGAGAAAGGAAGGCGCGTGACTTGGACCAAGTGAAGTGCATCAAGGACGAAGAAGGTAGAGTTTTGTTGGATGAGGGGCTTATCTGTCAGAGATGGAAGTTCTACTTCCATAGTCTCTTTAACGAGGAGGGGGACATGAGCATTGTACTGGGTTATTTGGAACTCTACCGGAGTCGTTGTGACTTTGGGTATTGTAGGCGGATTAGAGTTGATGAAGTTGAGGGGGCTATATGTAAGATGATCAGGGGCAAAGCGACCGGGTCAGATGAAATTCCGATGGAGTTTTGGAAGAGTGCGGGCAAGGCAGGCTTAGAGTGGCTCACTAGGTTATTTAATGCCATTTTTAGAATGAAGAAGATGCCCGAAGAGTGAAGGTGGAGCACGATGGTTCCTGTATACAAGAACAAGAGTGATATCCAAAATTGTAATAACTATCGGGGTATCAAGCTGCTTAGCCATACTATGAAAGTCTGGGAGAGAGTGGTAGAGCTAAGGTTGAGGAGGAGTGTGTCTATTTTCGAGAACCCGTTTGGGTTTATGATAGGGCGTTTGACTACAGAATCCATCCACCTTGTTAGGAGATTGATGGAGCAGTATAGGGAGAGAAATAAGGACTTGCATATGGTGATCATCGACTTAGAAAAGGCGTACGATAAAGTTTTGATGGAGGTTTTGTGGAGATGTTTGGAAAATAGAGGTGTACCTGTTGCCTACGTTAGATTGATTAAGGACATGTATGATGGAGTAAAGATCCGAGTGAGGACGGTGGGCGGGGACTCGGACCATTTTTTGGTTATGATGGGGTTGCATCAAGGGTCAACACTCAACCTTTTTTTATTTGCTCTGGTGATGGGCGTACGTGCCACATCCAAGGGGAGGTGCCGTGGTGCATGCTATTTGCAGATAATATTGTATTGATTGACGAGATGCGGGATGGTGTAAACGCGCAATTAGAGGTATGGAGGCAGACCCTGGAATCTTAAGGTTTCAAGTTGAGCAGGAATAAGACAGAATACTTAGAGTATAAGTTCAGTGGCGAGACTCAAGGAGGGGAAAGGGAGGTGAGGCTAGACTCGCAGGTCATCCCTAGGAGAAGGAGTTTTAAGTACCTTGGGTCTATTATTAAGGGGGATGGGGAGATTGATGAGGATGTCACACATCGTATTGGGGCGGGATGGATGAAATGAAAACTCACTTCAGGTGTTTTGTGTGCCAAGAAGATGCCACCAAAACTTAAGGGTAAGTTCTACAGAGTGGTGGTCAGACCAACGATATTGTATGGGGCTGAGTGTTGGCCAGTCAAGATCGCTCATGTCCAGAAGATGAAGGTAGCACATACGAGGAAGTTGAGATGGATATGCGGGCACACCAGGTTAGATAGGATCAGAAATGAGGTTATTCGCGACAAGGTGGGTGTGGCTCCTATTGAGGATAAGATGCGGGAAGCGCTGCTCAGGTGGTTTGGTCATGTGAGGAGGAGGACCACAGACGCCCAGTGAGGAGGTGTGAGAGGTTGACATTGGAGGGCCTACTGAGAGGTAGAGGTAGGCCAAAGAATAGGTGGGGGAGAGATGATTAGGCAAGACATGGCACAACTTCAGCTGACCGAGGACATGACCCTTGATAGGAAGGTATGGAGATCGGGGATTAGGGTAGTAGAGTAGGTAGTCTAGAGTGTTCATATCAGTAGTATTGGCACGCAATCTCGCTATCTGTTGATAGTAGGTTTTTATGCCTAACTGTTATTTTCTTTCATTATCGATCACCTTAGTGTCTTGTTGTTTTTATTCTGCTTTTATATGATTTTTTAGTACTGTCCCTTCTTATCTATATTTTCATTAATGTCGTGCTTCTGCTTTCCTGAGCCGAGGGTGTATTGAAAACAACCTCTCTATCCTCACAAGGTAGGGGTAAGGTCTACGTACATGTTAAACTGAGTAATCTTTGTTAAGCAGTTTAACATAATGTTAAACTAAGGTCTCCCTAAAACTGTTAAAATATTATGTTAAACTGCTTAGCAACCTAGAGAGTAAAAATCAGAATCTGCATCCTACCTTGTTCCTCCATTTTCCTAAATAAGTACATGGGTTTTACTGCCAATCTCAGCATGAATGCCAAATAAAAGTATTATGTAATTTAGTATGTTAATCAATAATATATATAATGTATAATTTAGTATATGTTTCGGTATGGTATCGGTATTCGCTATTATTTTTTTAAATACCAAATACCATATCTAATACTAAAAATTATTTTTAAAACTTAAATCAAATACCATACGAAATACCAAAAAACTGAGTACCATTTAACAAAATTTTCGATTTTGATACGGTAATTTGATATTTACCATATTATGCACAACCCTAAGTTTAATGTTTCGAGTTTTGACGGGCAGCATTCTATTCTATATAACAATACCAAGGTATTTAATACTGTTTGGAGAATAAAAAAAAGATTTTACAATTAAAATATTTTCACGAGCAGTAATTTAATCAACTTAATTAATACTATTGTAATTGGGTAAAAATTATTTACATCCCCAAGTTTGCTTTAAAAATCAAACTCATCCTCCAACTTTGAACAATTATCATTCTACTCCTCATATTAAAGATGACTTCTTAAAATGCCTATTCTACCCTCTCCAATTTTTATCTCTTATTTTTATTCTTTAATATAATTATATTTTAATTTATATTATTGACTTACTTATAGAAAAATTAAAAAAACCTTTTTGTAGCCAAAAAAAATGAGAAGTAGTAGTCAAGCATATAAGTTAATGATGTTCAAAAGTGAAATAAATGAGAAAAATAAAAAGATTACAATAAATAATTTACTCGTATCGGTAATTTTTTTAATAGAAATCAAAAATCTATTTACAATTCAGGTAATAAAAAAATAGAGTGAAAATTTTATAAATTTTACAATTCAGGTAATAAAAAAATAATGGGCATAAAATAGAGGTAAATTGTATAATAAAATTTGCAAAAGTTATCTATTTAAACTTTACATGAACTTTAATTATAATTTTAAAAAACTCTAGTAATAAAAATCAAAACTCAAAAATTTATATATACCATAGATAATAATAAATAGTGGAACTTAAAATCACACACACACACCAATATACATTATATGAATTTTAATATACATAATATTAAAATAATAATAATAATAATAATAAACTAGCAATAAATTTTATAATAAATTCATAATATAATTATTTTATTTATAATGTTAGTGAACTTAGATTAAATTATATAAATAAGATATAGTATTTTTAACTTATGAATAAATACATGCATTAAAAAATATCTAAATAATATAAAAAAGGTATTACATATATGGAGAGTTGAAAATGTCAAGGGTAAAAAAGACATTGTTTAGGACGAAAGGATGAAAATAACAATTGTTCAAAATTGGAGTATGAGTTTGCTTTTCACTACTAGAAATTCGGCAAAAATCGACCGCGATTTACCGACCAATTTTTGTCGGTAAAAAAACCGACCAAAGTCAGTCGGTTTTTCAAAATATTTTATTTATTAATTTATTTTACGAAACCGACTAACTTTGGTCGGTTTTCTTTGGCGTAAAAATACAGAAAACTATTTTTGAGTCCCGCAAAATTTATTTTTCAAGAAACTGTCTAACTTTGGTCGCTTTTTCATTTAAAATAAATTAAAATTAATAATTAAAAAACCGACCGCAATCGGTCGGTTAATTCGGCCGATCATTTTAAAAAACAGACCGAATTCGGACGGTAATTTTATTTTTTATTAAAATCGACCGACATTGGTCGGTTATTTTCGTGCGAAAATACAATTAAAGAGTATAAATGAAATAAAAGACAGTCTTAAAATAAAATGCACCAATGGTCTAGTGGTAGAATAGTATCCTGCTGTAACGACTCGTCCGGTCTTTTTGAGTGTATTAGCCCCGATCCCCTATTTACTATTTTTTCCGTATCTGTTTCTGCTTATGTGACTTGCCGGGAGGTCTTGTTTTTAGTTTCGGAGTATTTTGGGACACTTAGTCCTAAAACGGAATCTTAAGTCTCAGGATTTTTATCGTAGTTGGAAGTGTGTGAAGACGACTCCGGAATGGAGTTCCGTGGGTTCCGTTAGCTCCGTTGGGTGATTTTGGACTTAGGAGCATGTCCGGACTGTGACTTTGAGGTTTGTAGCTAATTTAGGCTTGAAATGACGAAAGTCGAATTTTTGGGAAGTTTGACCGGGGGGTTGACCTTTTGATATCGGGGTCGGATTGCGATTTCAGAAGTTGGAATAGGTCCATAATGTTGAATATGACTTGTGTGCGAAATTTGAGGTCAATCGGACATGGTTTGGCAGGTTTCGATATTGTGTGCGGAATTCGAAAGTTTAAATGTTCTTTAGGCTTGAATCCGAGNGGTTTGGATTTGAAAGGGGCGGCTGAAGTACTGCTGTTGCTAGTGTAATCGCACCTGCGGAGTGGGAACCGAAGGTGCGAGCTTGCAGAAGCGGGGATGGGACTGCAGAAGCGGCCAAGGAGGAGTTGAGCAGAAGCCGTAGGTGCAAAGATTTTCCTGCACCTGCGATGGTCGCAAAAGCGGGCAGCTAGGCGCAGGTACGACTTTTAGCCGCAGAT